TTTATAAAAATAAATATTAGCTAATTTTTAAATATTTATAATAATTTTAAAAATTAATATTAGATAATATTTAATAATTTTAAAAATATTTTTGAATATTAAATAATTAAAAACATTAAGAGATAAGAGATAAGATAAAATATATAAGTGAAATAAGAAAAAAAAATATGAGGAATTTCAAATTCTTACTTTTTTGGGAGAATTTGAAATTCTACTATTTCAAGGAATTTTACAAATGCTTGAATTTCAAATTCCTTATAAATTATCCATCCAAACAAGGTATTTCACCTCAAAGAATTTGAAATTCTTCAAATAAATGAATTACTCTATTTAAATTCTCCATCCAAACACACCATTAATTTTCTCTTATTTTATAATTTTGAACGTTCTTGAGAAAAGACCAAAATGTACATCTTTGTTATATTATTTTTATTACATAAATTGAAAGTTATAAATTAATTCCTAACTAGGAGGCACTGCCACCTTTGCTGGAATTAATCTATATTTTCTTTTATATGATTTCTTGAATTTTAATACTTACATGTCGACTTGTTATGATTTATGAGTTACGAATGTGAATCTTCTACCTTATGATATTTGAGACAATTATTTTAAAGATATTAACTATGAAAGATTTTATTTACTCAAAAAGGAAAAAAAAACAATATTTTGTGTATTAATGTTGGAGTAGAGGGTGTCACAGTAACTACCCTTACAAAAAGTTACAATGTAATTTTTTTAAATAATTAGAAGGGTTAATATAATATATAAGAGATGTTAGTATAATATTTTTTAAACAATTAAAAAAATTAGTAGGAGTAAAAAAAGTAAGAAGTATTTATACACTATATCAAAATCTCAAGGCTTTCAAAGTAATTTACTTAATTAAATAATAATAAGACCCATAAATAAAAAATAATAGATTCAAGTCACATGTTCACATTTTTAATGTTATATTGGTTTTGATTATCTTAATTTTTAATTATTCTTTTTGTAGTTAAAATTAAAATTTAAAAATCATTAAAGTGGAGGATATTTAATAAAGTGGTGACTTGTGAAAACTTATCTCTTAAGTGAACTTCAATATATAAAAATATATATGAAAAAGGATTAAATAACTTTAAGAATAACTTTTATTTTAATTCACTTAATAATTTATTATATATATTGAATTTCAACGATTTAATTGTTAAATTATTTTTTAAAATATATAGATAAAGTTTATAAAATTTTAAAAATCATATGATATCTTGTTAATTTATTTTTATGATTATTTGTCGATTTGAATTAACGAAACGAAATATCAAATAATTTTTAAATTTTTTAAAAAATTTATAAAATTGATCTATGTATTAATTTTTTTTAATATTATTGAAGTTTAATATACACCATGAGTTATTTATTTAGATAACTTAAGCAAGAGTTATTTTTGGAGTTTCACATAATTTAAAAATTATTTAATAGTTCATCACATTGTTTTATTTTAATGTATAATATTATATTTAAAATATGTGATAAATATTTATTTTTAAATAATACATTTAAAAATATTTAAATTATATAAAATTTGATATATATGATCTTGAATATAATACCACATAATTTAAAGATTTAATTGATTAAATTTATATTATACAAAATTTTATTGAATATATAAAATTTTATGTAAAATTTTAGACTTATTCTTAGTGTTAAAATTTTGTATAAATTTTAGACT